ACCGTTACATTACATACAGTGAAAATCACTGAGGGATTTAACACTAGGGAGCAGGTCTGCAGGAAGAAAAGAGCTGCTGTGATATGAGGAGATGTGGGAGTAGGAGAAGCTATTGATGGAGAACTAGCACCAGGACCTGGCATCTGAATCGAAGGAGGTGTTTTAGAGCAGACCTATTTCTTTTGTAGTTATCAGGCTTTTATTCCTTTTTATTTTTTTCCCCTCCAAATACATTTTGTTCAGATTCTCTTGTGTTTCTTCACTGACAGTTTTCCAGAGAACAAATGAGCACAAACAAAAATGCTTTGGCAATGCTTTGGTGTTTTTTGCCAAGCCGAAAATGTAAGAAAAATATTAAACGGTGTCAATAGAAAATTAATTTCAAAAGCATGATGATTCATTTTCTGTACCAATAGTTTTGACCTTAGCAACCCTACTCACAAACCATTCTGGGAGCCACGTGTGCAGGTACAGGGATCGTCAGAGCTCCTACATGACGCCAGGAATGGTCAGGTCCTGTTCTGGCTGGTGTGGGCCTCTCCAGCTATAAACCTAACTCTCAACAGATCTGTTTGGATGTTAAATACAAGTTGGTTTAATTTAATTTATGAAAACAAGAATGGTGCCTCTGTGACCTAGACAGTTAGTTAAAAATGTAATCAACAAAACTGTTGTAAAGCCAGCAATAGCTCAACAAATAAGTCATAAAACACAGTTAAAAGATGCCATCACCAACAGCCTCTCCTCAAACTGCATATTTTCCTCATTTATCTGTGTATTTGCAAAACATGGCTGTGAACAAGGTGCTGTTTTGCAACTTGAGACTGTCCTGGGAATGATGCGGGCCTCGTGCAGAGCAGCCTGCAGAGTAGGCTGGCTGCAGGCATAGAGACAGTCTGAGCACTGTTCCCATTTCAGTCAGCAGGAGGAAAGACACGATGCTCATAGAGGAAATTTAGAAGGATTTAGCCCTTCTGTCGTGGTTCTGCACTACCCGGCTACATGTGTGAGAGGCAAGTCCATCACTAAATTTGTATTCTATAGCATATGGAAGAGAGAAAGTCAGCGTGGGATCACCTGTGCTACGCAGGTCATATAGCATTTAGGGGTATGTTATCTCCAGATGTGGACCACTCTACCTGCCTCAGCTCTCAGGTCTCCCCTCTTGTACGTATGTGTTAAGTCACAAGCCCTGAGTCACCCAGGTGGAGAGGAGGACGATGGTCTGGGAGCAGAACTCATTTTCCAGCCAACTCCCTGCCCTGCACTTTTAAACTTTACCGTGACTTCTTCCTGCCCAGGGGTGCACTCCAGCGGCTTGGAGAGCTGCACAAAGGGTGTCACGACACAGTCCCCTGGAGACCAGCATGGTAGAAAGCACAGAAGACCTAGAGGTGTCTCCCAAGAGCTGAACAGCAAATCAGAGGAGAAGGATGAGCTATCCATGGAGAAGCAAGTGCCTCCAGGTGCTGGTTATGCTTTGCCATCAGGATTTTAAAGGGAAGGAGAAAAAGTACATGCTGGTCCCTGGAACCAGATGTTGTGCATGGAACAATTGATCTAACACCTGAAATTATTGCTCTATGCACAGCCATTTGCATGTGAATCAGAAGGAGTTTTGTCCCAATCCTGCAGCATGATAGACCACAGTGCTACAGAAATACGCCACAACGCTGCACAAGACCAAGAGTACACCACCAGCAGAGGGAGGAGACAGAGGGAGGGTAGTTCCACGGAGCTGAGTCACAGTGTTGCCCAGACAAGGTCTGGGAGCAGAGTAGGCAGGATTATAGGAGGCAAGAGAGTGCGTGGGGACAAATCTCACTGCTGCGGGTGTCACTGGCTAGCAGAGTATCAGGTCACTGACTACAAGCTCTGGGAGCTGAGCTGGCAAAATTTAAAGCAGAGATGGTGTGGGGGTTGGAGAGAAGAAGGGGAATCTTGGTGTTGACTCTCCAGTGAGGCCATAAAATGCAAGTGATGAAAACAGTGAAGCGTGGCAGAGGGCCACTGGGTTATGTCAATTCTCCACAACTGGAATTTGGATTGTGAGCAAAATGTGCTGGGCGTGTCTTATCAATTGCATAAAATCAGTATGTATTCATGGATCAGGCATGTGAGATAAGGCAGACACATAACTTTCACTTCAGCTGCTACAGTACAAGCTTGTTGGTGGCTTGCTATGCCTCCCTCATTTTGCTGTGAGTGAATGAAAAATGCCAGAGGAGCAATGCAAGTATTTGAAATGTGTTTTTACAGAGGTGGTTCCATCTGTTGGATTGAATGTTTGCAGTTGCACTGTAGCTAATGCGGGCTCTCTCAGCAGCTCTCCCAAGGCTGAGAGCTGTTGCTGGACAAGCACTGTGCATGATGAAACGCGTTTTGTATTTTATCCTATTTTAGCCAGGTCCCGTAGCAAGCACCGTTTCTACAAACATCCCTTTTCTATGCTCGCTAACTAAACTCCGTGCCCTGTGCTGCATTTGAATCAGCGTGGTGCGGTGCTGCTGCGTGTTGTCTCAGCACCAGTGGGTGCTATAGTTACGGGTATATCCCGGTGTCTGTTTCCCCTAATAAGTGAACTGTTTAAAGAGGTAAAGGATGAAGGGCTGGAGCTGAACAACTCAAGCAGAGTGCTGCATGGAGCAGCACCCCATCACTCAGTCCAGTGAGTAGCTGTGGAACAGTTTGTATTGAGTATTAACGTGAGCAAACACCAATTTCTTGTAGTCAGGAGTCCATTCTTGTAATTGGCGCTTTTTCACATTTTTTTTTTAACAAATTTGTGTGGTCTTTATAACTGAAAGCCAGGTTTTGGTGCAGCTTGCCATAGCTGGGACAAATGATGCTAAGAGAAGTGAGTCCACAGCTGGGTCTGAGAACTCCGGTAAGCTTGTTCAGTGGCATTATTTGTCAGTACATTTACAGTCCCGGCATCGTCAGTGGTCCTCGAGGGAAATTTCTGAAATTCAGGTGAGCCTGTGCAGCCTAGAAGGATCCCAGAGCTCCTCCTAGTGAGTTTATGCACTGTGAGATGCGCTCAGCTCGGGGCAGGCTGGTGAGCAGGCAGCACACGGCAGTCCCAGGCAAGGAAACTTCTGGCTCAAGGTGTGGGTTAAACCCAGGTCATAATATGTATTCAGCTAATTTGCTTGTAATTTCTTTGGCAAGGACTTGGGGATGTGCACACGTGCGTAGATACACATATGCTTTCCATCTCCTCCTGTGTGGAAGCAGGCACAGCTCCTGTTTTTCCTGTGTAGGATCTGTGATCTATTCTGGTAGCTGCATAGTGCAGTGCTGCCTCCAGTAAATATTCACAGATTTCCTTGTAAGCTGATGCATTATTTTTTTTCCTCTCTCCTGTGTGGATACACAAAGGCATGTGTTGTACCTGCTTTACCCTGTGGGATCTACATAATCAGGTCCACAGTTTTTAATGGATTTCAACTCCCTTCAGTCTATAGATGCGGTTTCCTGTCTTGTTTTGAGCAGGAAGAGCTGAGTCTTTTTTGGTCTTAGCATTCCTGCTTGCCTGGGCTTTGGGAAGAGTTCTCTGGCTATTTTCCTGTTTGATTTTTGTGTGTGTTTTGTTTTAAGCAGGACAGAGTGCATGTGTGTATGTAATCCATGTGCTCAATTAAGAGAGGCATCTGTTGGGTTTATTTCACATTGCCGAGGAAGGACTGCAAGCAGGGAGCATCTGCTCGGCTTTTTGTCAATGGCTTGTTTTTCATAATTTGCTCTACAGGGTGAATGTTTGGGGAGGGGGAGGTGGTGCTTTATTTCTGAGTTTCATCTGAAGTTTATTTTTATGGTAGCCAAGGAAATTGATTGGCATTTGAAAGTTAATTTCGCTAAGAAAAGAACTGAAGAGGGAGAAACAAAACCATCCAAAGTAAATAGCATTTATGTAACCTTAGCAATACACTCAGAAGGACTCTTATGAACCATTATTTGTTGTATTTTAATGAAAAAAATTAATTTATTATGGTTCTTCTGTTTGTGTTTTTGTTTCATTTTTATTTATTTATATATATATTTAAACTAGCAAGTTTTGGTTATATTTTGTTTTGGGAAAGATATGAAAGGCATCCAACACTAAGATGCTTTTTTGGCATTTTGTCAACACCAGAAAGAAAAAAAAAAAAGTGCCTGGTTTTAAAATAGAGCAGCAGTGGTTTCCTGTTCTTATAGTTCTTGCTTTTGTGCATTCAGATGTTGGCTGTATCGCACCTAGCTGATCTAGTGGGAGATCTAATTGTCTGTAAATGTGTGCATTTCAAAGGCTACTAAACCTGCAGGGAGTGTTTTATACAAGCATGTTTATTACACTTTTTCCGTGGAAACATCCTCCTAAAGGGCTGGGGAGGATAATGACTCTGGGATGCCCTGGGAGGACACTGCTCTTGGTGTAGCTTGGGGAAGGGAGAAGGCCTGAAACTCCTTCTAGTCCTCTGAGCAGAAGACAAATCCCACCCATCCCACTCAAACAGAGATACAGCTTTGCAAGTGTAGAAGTAGGGCTAGATTTGTGTCTTGCTGAAACACTTAAAGACATGGGATTAAAACCAACTAGAAATCGTATCTTGTTCTGTAAGTGAACCCCAGGTCTGTACAGCCACCTCAGAATGGTGTGAAATCTGAATCTTCCATGCCACAAGTTGCCACAGAAGAGAAAGAGGGAAGCATTCATAAAAATACATTTCTTGATGGTTCAATCCCATTCCATAGCAAGAGAATATATATATAATCTAAATATTATGTGTCACAACATAAATAAAATTTCTGTCAGATGAATGCTCTTCAGTTGAACAACTTTGTTGACATCAGGTAATAGTTATAGAAGCAGCCTACAGCAGTTAGTGTGCAAAATGAAACGTGGGGCTGACTGCAGGGAACAGGCAGACAAGCTTACTTCTGGGGCTTCAAGTAACCTTGGCTGACATGAAATCATGGAACCTGAAGTGTAAAAGGACAAACCACAATAAACTTCATAGTAGCAGGAAAGTATTTTCATTGCTTGAAAAAAAAAATAAAATTCAAACTTTGTCATCACATTAAAAACATTACATGAGAAGTAATAAACATATTTACACTTCTGTTTTGATTATAAATATACATTATATACAAAATAATGTTATAAAACGTAGAAAGTTCAGTGCTTCTGATTTTTTTAAATTACTGAAATACTAGTCTTCAAAATAAACTACAAACAGACAAACTAAAACCCATATTATTGATTTCTGAAGGTCATCTTCAAAATGGTCCTACACAGTCAGAGCAGAAGGTCAGTAGTGGACATTATGAAGAGTCTTGTCTGCACAGGTCAAGGCATTAGATGGGCTAGTCCAACAACAGGCTTTACAAGGGCAGGAACATTGCTGTCCGAGAGATAGCACGGTCCAGGTTTCTTTGAAGAGATTTTGTTTCCTCCCTCCTCATTCCGCCCCACTTCTTCAGGCCTCTGTTTTCCAGGGGCTGGCTTCCTCTTTTCCCTGTAGAAGTGGGGGGTAAGAAAGGAACAGGACTAGCCTAGGACCTTCTAACTCTAATCTCCACCCGTCTTGGCAGAGGGCCTCTCAGTGGGTGCTTTGCTATTGGGCATTTGGAACCAGGGTGAGGGACAGAAGCAGAGATCTGCAACCAGACAGAGAAATACAGGGATGACACTGCTGCTTCTCCTTCAGAAAGTAACAGCTGCAACTTTGAGACTATTTGCAGTAGGTGGCAGCTAATTCAGAAACACGCTATAAACCCCCAAATTTGTGTCAGAATAAGGGGGTGGGGGAGAGAATGAGGAAGGAGAAGAAAAAAAATAATGTCTATTCACAATCACTGGTAGTGCAAAGGGCATGAAAACAGCTGAGACAGCTCAGCATGTTTAGGTTCTAGGAGCTGATTGATTTAAAACGCATTTGTAAGGCTTTAAATAGAACTGGGATCATGTCTCTCCTCATTATCAATAGGGAACAGGCAGTAGACATTCCTTATCGCAACTTTCCCTTCTTGGATGCTTAAATCCATGAAAATCCCGTCCCATATTGTGGCTTGGGTCAATCAGTTCTCCAAAGCATCACCAAATGAGATGACGTAAATTCAGTATCCCTCTTTCCTTCCTCCTCTTGCCCCTTAAACTGTCTCCAGTACATGCAGCAGGAGAGAGGAGACGCAAACTGATGTGTAGCAAGAAGTGTCAATCACCCCTGCCCAATACTGTTCAGGTAACTGCAGAAGGAGCAGTCAAGTCTCTGTTTGGGCTTGTTAGATTCTCTTGACACATTTTAGGCACTTTTAAACCCGGAAAAAAAATGGAGACCTCATTTATACTGTATCCATTATCTGCATAGCAATGTGTCTTTCTTCACACCTTCCGTGGCAACGTCTGTGATAGTTAAGTGCCTCCTCCTCTACCAGCACCTCCCATAACCAGAGTTCTGGAAAGCCACAGGTCTGTCCATGAGGAACTGGCCTCAATATCTTTTAAAAGCAAGTCAAAACATAAGCATTTTAACCCCTCTCTCTTCCCTCTGCCTCCCTTCTTCTATAGCCAGTGAGATTTCTGGTATCAAACTTCAAACAAGGGCAGTAAGAACAAAAAGGTGTATTGCATCTTTCAGTAAATTCACAGTCTGTCCAGTTCACCCAGTTCCATCCTCCGCCTGAGAGCAGCAAGTTGCATGTAATTAAAAACAGTCCAATCCAGTTCTGAATTGTAAACAATGCAGCAGGAACGTCCATCTACTGGCATTACCAAATCTGAGGTGCAAATGGGCTGATCTTCAGTCTTATACCTGTCAGGGCATAAACGTAACACAACAAATGAGAAGGAAGCACAGAGTACAGCAGAACTAACAAATTGTAATTCAAGCCAAAGTAATTTAAGCAAGATATTACTACAGCTTAACTACCAGCATTCAATGTTTTTGGCTGGATCCAGAGAGAGAATATTCAGCAAACAACTCATCTATATGAGGAGTAGCCTCCCTACCTGGAGTGAGGGAGAAAATGCCTAGGATAAACCTTACAAATCTGGGTGCTTAACATTAAGTCTCTGTGAAAGGCATCTGGTATAATGCAATAGCTTGTGTGCCAGGGAGAGAAATTTTGGGGGCCTGTCGTTCTGAACATACAAGTACTTTGGGGCTTGCCTTATGCAAATCCAGCTTTGGTCAGCAAGATCTTCCAAGGAAGATATGATACTTAGGTCTGTTAGTGGCAATGAAGTGTCTAATTGACATTTGTATCTTTGAAAATCCTTTCAGCTGAACTTTTAATATTACTGGTTGACTTGTATTCAGGCTTGCCTTTGAGCCGAAATCTGATATCCACCCTGGCAAGGGAGACAGAAAACTGCAGGTCTGACTTCACAGATCGCTGCTGTATGGCGCAGCAAGCTCTCTTTCTTGGAGTCTGGAACTACCTGAAACTAGTCCTAAAAGTGACTGACTTCACTGAGAAAGACAGGTATTGATTGTTGATAATTCTTTGGGAACTGTTTGGATCTTCGGTAGATGCTTTTTTGGAGTCTTTAGATTATTCAGTGCTAGGCACCTCTTTTTTGTGTACTGTTCTCGAGCTTTTCAAAATAATGTCAAAATTTAGATATGTTTATCAGTAACTTAAGAAACATCATTAAATTGCTGCAGCCATGAACACATAATACAGCTTAAATGCCAAGAAGTTGAAATTTCCATCCATGTCTTACTACAGACTTTTTAAATGTCTTTTATGCCTATCCACTTAGCACATTCAGTTGCCTCCCATCTTCTGTTGGAAATCTATAGCTTTGCCTGTTTCCACAGAACATGGATTACCCATAGTAGTGATGGGAAGAAAAACATGGTTTTACATCAGTGGATTTATGAACTATTATTATTTCATTTTTTTTGCTGACTACTTATTTAAGAGGAAATAATCCTATGATGTACTGAATTTTGATGGGTTGATGTTTGGTGCTTTCATCTCCTTATCTAAACCCAGAATCTCTGGTTTTAGAGCTGCTAATTTCTGTGTTATATATAATTTTTTTTTTCCCCGTTGTATGTTCAGTTTGCTTGGGCACTCCTGTCAGCCACAGAACAGAAGGGGTGTATGCGGGGATCCCTGGAAATTGAGTAACCTTCTCAGATCCAATTCTAAAGGATAATTTGCCTGTTTTACTTTGTGAATTTATGCTTGTTCACCCGTGTACTTACTTACCTCTGTGGCTATGATGCACTCATTCCTTTCTTCTGTTATCACAAAGACGGACTGGTACATTGAATCCCTTGGAGAGCATATCGCTGATATTCTACATTCCGGCTTTTCACTAAGGCAGGGCAGAGAGAAAAGGGCGTTAGTTGACTACTAACACTCCTATCTCTAAAAATTCAATGAATATGGAGGGTTGGAATGAGATAGCCAAGGAGGTGTGGGAGGGAAGGGCAGAGGATGAAGTTTCACGTGTTCTATATGATGGCAGGACAGTAAGCGAGGGAGGTGGAAGTCAGGAATAGCTACTGTCTTGCTAGATTTCTGCCATGTCCAATTTAGCTACGTACTCCTCAGATCCTTCAGTGCACCTGTCACAAGCAGGACCCAGGCAAGGCTTTCAGTATGTGTACAAGAATACTGATGATCTAGTGAATAGTTGCTATTTTCTTTTTTTGAAAAGAGTAATTATTACTACTCCAACTTTCTTTTCAGTAAGCAGATCATTTTACCTTCTTAATAACCAATATATCCTTATTTTAATCATTATATGCTGTACTGTTCTTTCTCCGAGATCTATTGAGGAAGAACAGATACTTCTTACTTTCATCAGTAGACTAGTCACTCCCATTCCCCTTCACAGCACCCATACTACCAGCACCCTGCACAAGCTCTCAATTTAATTCATTTAGCTATGGATACCACTTGGCCACTACACACATACATTACTTCAAGATTCATGGCTTTGCCATGAATCATTTTGTATGCTATCTCCCCAAGTTATTATTATTTTTTTTTAATGTTTTCTCATCTGCTTCTACATGGGTATGAAGGTGAGGGGGGGCTGAAGAAACACTATAAGGAAGACTGCATTCTCACCTATGTAGTCGAAGTGGAGACTTGTCTCCTAAACACTTTTCACTTTTGTAATATTTATCTTCCTGTGTCCCTCTACTTGTTAGGTCTTTTACCAGATTGTAGTCCAATTTATGATTCTTGGGTTTGTAGTTTGACTTCTCCAACCCACAGTCCACTTCGAGGTCTTTATTTTTGTTGGTGTTTTTGAGCTGGGAAGCTGGAATGAGATTGTCCTTCTGGAAGTCAGACAGGTTGTTCATCGTCTCCAAGTCCTGCTCTGGGTGCATCCTCATCTGCCTGATGACCATTGCTATCATGCAGAACAGTATGAGCAAAGCCACCAGCCCCACTCCCATGGATATGGCAATCCAGGGGACTGGTTTAGGAGGAAGTGTAATGGGCACTGAATAAACTGGTAATTCACAGCGGCTGCCCATGAAGCCAGAAGGACAGTAGCAGACAAAGTTGGCACTATAAAGTCCACTGTAGCAAGTGCCTCCATTCTCACATGGCCCAGAAGCACATTCATCTCTGGTTTTGATGTCACAGTTCCTGCCACTATAGCCTGGCAAACATGTGCAGGTGTAATCGTTGATCAGGTCGTGACAAGTTCCCCCATTGGAACATGGGTTCCTGGCACAGTCATTGATGTTTATCTCACATTTCTTACCAGAGAAACCAGGCCGACAACGACACACGTGAATCTGACCAAGGTAAAAGCAATTACCATCTGAGGAAAAAAAGTAAAATAAAAGAAAAAAATAATTAGTCTCCAATGTACTTCACTTGGAAATACAAAGCTCTGTCCGTAAGCATTTTATACTACCTCAAGAAGAGGGAGGTTATTTTATAAAACAACCACACATGAAAAGTTCCTTCTAGCTTACCCATCTCCCTTTAAAAATATGCCCCTTCTAAATAGGTAATAAAGTTAATTTAATGTGCATAGTTCTGCCATCTATCTCATCCCATGGTAAAACTTGTGCATTTTTTTCCTGCATAGAAAATGCCAGTGAAAGTCCTCCCCCCAAGAGGCCAAAATTAGGGTAGATGTGGAATACAGTGAGGGAGAGACTAATATATTAGGGGAAGAGTAGAGGTCAGATTGGATTTCTATCACTTCTGCACTGAAAAGCACAAACAAATCAAGGAGACGTGAGAGTTTTTGATAAAAAGACTCACCATTTGCACATGGGTTGCTTGTGCACCTGTCTACTTTTTTTTCGCAGTTCGACCCCGTGAAGCCGAAAGGGCAAACGCAAGTGTAGCTGGCCCCTTGTTCTTTTTCCAAGCATGTGCCACCATTAAAGCATGGAGAATCGATACACGTCAAAGCGCTGTGCTCACAGTGAGTCCCGTAGTAGCCAGGGGGGCAGAGGCAGTGATAACCATTCTCCAGATCCTGCAAAACACAACATTGGCCATTGTAATTTGATGCCACCAAAGGATAGCTGCTTGTGCATTTCTTTTTGGTCAGCGTGTGCTGTTCTGTCCCAAAAGACAGAACTGAACTTTTGACTGTGGCAAAAGTGACATTTGCAGAGTAAATAACTGCAGGCTGGTCTGTGAGGGATAGAGCTGAGAACTGGCTGTATTCGTCGTGCAGGAGTAATCGTGCAACTACACAAGCTGAGCAGACGCAATTGTAGGGAGCCTAGAGGCAACTAGGCTATGTCTAACATGACTAACACCACTACACAGCTGTGATAAGGACATTTATCCTCTGCATGAGAGCCTTTTTTTTTTTTTTTTTTAATAAAAAAGGGGTTATTTTGCTTTGCTATTGAGAAGTCCCACCACTTAGATAACAAAAAAACTCATCTCTTTTTTGAAAGTATTGTATGTCCAAGGTCTTGGGAGAAGGGAGTCGGGTCTTGCAGCATTAGCTTTAATCAAAACATGCATTGGATTACATCTGATATTTGTAAGCCATCAGTCGTTATCAACAGGTAGGATCAATCATTGACTGGCTCTGAAAATACATTGAAACACGAGACTGCAGAAAACTAAAAGTGAAGAACTCTGTTTTGCAGAAAGTGTTTCATCTGTTTTTCCTTGTACCAACTGGCACTACACTCCGTAACAGAAAGCAGACATTTTATTAATTATTAAAATACAGACTTGGCACACTTTTGTATGAACCTTCATTTGGGAGCTTATTTTTTTAAAGATCTGCTCCCTCACAAACCTTGAATCTTGCCAAGATCTCGTAATGGCTGCCACAGAAACCTAAGGATCAGTTGACTAGTTCTAATCTAGATGATACATCTCCTCCTGTAACAGACTTCCTCCCCTGACACGTCCAGGGAAGGGTTCAGTATGATAGTTGTGAGCGTCAGTAATGAACCTGTGTACTATCGAATTCCCATTATGTTGTTACAAAACCATTTCTGAAAAAGTATACTGGGGCTTGCTTCACACAAAGACTTTACATTTAAAATGCCCTTACCGTGCAACTACCGCCGTTCCTACAGGGATTGCTGTCACACTCGCTGATCTCATGTTCGCAGTCAACGCCGGTAAAGCCAGGTTTGCACGAACACGTATAGCTGCCCTGGCCGGTGTTCATGCAAGTTGCTCCATTTTTGCACGGTTTGTGGTGAGTACAGTAGTTCAGATCTGCAAAGATACCAGGTGTTAGAGAAAAGAGTCTCTGACTGCTGGAAAAAGACATTCATACAAAAACACCATAGTCAACAGTAAAGAATTTTCAATTTTAAAAAGTCTTCCATTTTGCTATTAATAGGAATATTGGAGGTTATTATTCAGATTATTATCAGTAATAGATGTTTCAGATTGTTACGAATTTTACATATTGCTCTCTGTCTATCACCTGAGCTCTGAATTTTGGGAATCTTGTCTTTCTTAATGCTTTGGTATACTCTCCCTTTTTTTTGTGTGTAAACCTGTTAGCTGTAATGGGATGTGGATGCCAAAATGTACTTTGTGTGTATTCTCAGAAAGACGCTTCAAGGCATAATGGACAGATAGTCTGTGCACAACATGTCACATACTAAAAGAATTAGCCCCATCTTTAAAAGGTGTGCTCCAAGGCACGTTCTGGGAAGGCAGGAAGGAAATAAAAATATTTAGGCTTGGAGATTTAAACAAACATTAGAAATCTTTTATTGTTTATTTACCGTGCTCTCTTGTTATGAATGTTAGTAGTTTAAACTGTCTAAATGCTCTGCCAGCCTTGATGGCCCTTTTTATTTTCACTTAGATCTGAGACAGAGGTTAAGCACACAAGTTCATAGGACGCAAGTAGAAAATCTTTATAAGCACTATAAATACCATAGGCTAATTGGAATACAACTGGTTAATAGGTAACTACAAACAGAAAAGAAAAAAAAATCTGCAACTTTACTTTTCCTGCTTAATTCAGACTTCCCCATCTTAATCCTATAAATGTCTTGAAAACACTTAACTTGCTGTGAGTACTTAATGATCTCAGTGCCAGCAGTGCATATATGGCCTTGAGGACATGACTGCTCAGCTGGCTACAGTTCAGTGATTCAATGGGTTGAATAGGTGGAAGTGGTCTGGTGTACCTTAAAATGGAACCTGTACTTTTCATTCTTGCTTACATGATTTTTCTCTCATGCTCCAGACTTATCACATGAGTTAACTTCCTTGTATGCAAAATAAGGAAGGCCCAAATTATGGTGTTTACTGCTGCTGGAAACTGTTTAGTAAATTGTTGTACAGGGAATACATTAAACTTAGCTTGAGAAGACAGAAAACTTGCCTGGTCAAAACTCATCCAGGTGGTGTTGTTTTTCAACACCTACCAAGAAGGCTTGCTTGTTTTCAGCCCAGACTACTACAAGTTAAGTATTAGTGTCTGAGACAGCCTTGGTACAAATCGATGCCTCTCAACGTGTACCTTACTGAAGTTTAATTCTAGATCTGATGGGTCAGATTCCCTAGTCCCGTACTGAGGAATACCCAATCTAGACCCAGAAGCACAACATTCGGAACTAACCTTGATCACAGAAGAGGCCACCCCATCCTTCGTCACAAATGCACTGCCACTGTGTTTTACAGGTCCCGTGGCGGCAGCCTATGTGGGGAATGCATTCATCGCAGTAGCGGCCTTGCCAGCCAGGACGACAGCTAAAAGAAAAGTCAAATTAAAACATTAATGACATGGAAAAGAGTTTAAGTTTCTGTTACAAGTTTCTATTACTATTCTGTTTTAACTGAAGTTCGGATTGCAATTGCCATCTACTCACATGCACTCTCCTGGCTTGTTGCAATATCCATTCTGTTCAGTACATCCAGACAGACAGATGGCTGTAAAGAGAACATAAAAAAAGCAGAAATGTTTAGGTAAATACATATGCCACTACAGAATACACTTTTAAAAGGGGGAAATGTCTGCTTTTAAAAATATGCTTCGAAAACTGGTTTTGCACTTTCAAAGCTTTGTTTTAAAAATTCTTAGTACGAGGAGTTCTGGAGCAGGAGGAAGTGAACAAGGAGAGCCGACATCTGACAAGTTGTCCTTTATTTTTTCTGCTTACACAACAAACATGAACTCTTGCAGCTCTCATAGGAAAGGAGCAAGTGGTGACTCTGCCTGTGCTAACAGGAGACTGCAAAAATCCAGCGGGACCCTGAGCCCACAGTAAAGATTCCTGCTACGACAGCACAACACCTGCCCCATCTCCTCTGGCAGCAGAAATGGTGTAAGCCTCTGTGGGCAAGCTGTGAGCCTGTTAACTCAGAATAGGTACGACTGACTCAATGATAACAGCCAAGATCCCTTCTCTGCTTTCTTCACTGCTCGCAGAGGTGCAGCGCAGCATTAGCAGCTGCAGCAGCGGGGGGAGCAAAGTCCTCAGCGTGCCGCTCTCCACAGAGGGGAAAGGTCAGCAGGAAAACACAGCCCCGAGCTCTGCCAGGTGCACGATGTTTTGCAGCAGCGCCGTTGCAGCCACAAGCAAACACCACTGCCGCATTTCAAGTTTTGGGATTGGGGTGCCTTCACCGAACAGTTCCCTGGTGCTTTAGGGGGTTGCCTTTCCTTCAAGGCCTCTTCAACTACATTCCTGTCCCAGTGTAACTCTTGGTTTAGCACAGAGCCTAAGAAAGCTGGCACAGGTGATATGTTTTAATACTCCAAGCCACCTGCTAGCTTTAGAGGCCTTCCCAGTGCACAGGCTGGGAGGTGCCACGGCCTTTCACTGGGAGTCCCTCACCCCAACCTAGGCGAGGAGGCTGCAGCTGGCTGCCAGCACCCTGTGGAGAGGGGCGATGCCACACGGCCGGCTGTGAGGCCTGGGCAGCTCACGGGGCTCGCGCAGCAGCCCTTGTGCCCGGCCCCTCACACACCCGATGTCTGTCACAGCCTGGCACTTACGCTCGGTGCAGTACTCTCCGGTCCAGCCGGGCAGGCAGGCCAGGCTGCCATCAGCCTCGCAGACGTAGTGGCCGAAGCGGTCATCACGGCGCTTGCAGAGGCGCGAGCAGCTGTCCCCGTAGTAGTTCTCGCTGCAGACCACCCGGTAGGAGTAGCGCAGCTGGGTCAGCGGGCCCTTCTGCACGTCCTGCGACCAGTCCTCGCCCACCGCCAGCGACCGCTGGATCGCCATCTGGCTGATGAGCCAGTCCTCGGACGGCAGCTGGGAGCCTGGGGGACAAGGGACGGTGTCAGCAGCCTGCTACCACCACCACCATCACCACCACCACCATCAAAGCCATCACCACCATCATCACTACCTCCATCACCACCACCACCGCTGTCTGCCCCCGGAACCCCTGTCCCAAATATGTGTGTGCAGTGGCCCCACTGAGGAGGGTTGGAGCGTTAATTTGGTGCCCCCGGTTTCGGTGAGCGTTAACCCAGGCTGCGGGGGCTCTGCGGAGAGAGGCCTTTCAAAGCGAGGGCTGCTGTGCTGCTGGAATATCCTTTTTCCTCTCTTGTCAGAAAAACATCCCAAAGCCATTATTCCTTTCCAAAGGGCGGAATTCGAGAAAGGTGTAAAATACAGGAAAAGGCGGCCGGGGCTCTTTGGCAGCCTCGCAGCTTTCTCACCGCAGAGCTCCTTTCTTTCCCACGCCAAAAATAAACCGGAGGAAACGCAATTGTGTTGGAGATTGGGTCGGGACAGAATCAAAGCGGCCCCTGATGGATATCGTTGGGGGACCGGGCTGCTGATGGTCGGATAAAGCCGGCCGTGAAATTATCGGATAAACAGCTGAGCCGGGGGGGTCGGGGGAGCGGGGGGGGGGGGCTGGGACCGGGACCGGGGCTGGGACCGGGACCGGGGTTGGAGGTGGGGGGTTGGGGGGGGGGGGTGTCGGGAGCGCGCAGCGGGTGCGTCGCGCCCCCTGCCGGCGGCGCGCGGCGCGCTCACCTTGCGGCAGGTAGTTGGCGGGAGCGTGCCAGGCCTGGATGATGAGCGAGAAGGTTCCCTGCGGGCGGAGAGAGCAGCGTCAGCACGGCCCCGCGCCCCGTGCGGGTCGTGTTATCCCTCACACCCCACCCCTCTTTTTTTTTTTTCTTTTTTTCTCTTTTTTTTTTCTTTTTTTTTTTCTTTTTTTTTTTTTTTTTTTTTTTTCTCTCTCTTTTTTTTTTTTTTCTCTCTTTTTTTTTTTTCCCTTAAAGGAAGCTCTGGCAAGAAGTCTACCGGCGAGAGCGGTTCGCTCCGCGCCAGCTCAGCCTTTCCCTGCCGCCCTCCTTGCCCCGCGGCCGCGCTCGGCGCTCCGAGCGGAGTCTCACCGGCCACGTGAAGTTAAAGGGCAGCTTGATGGGGCTGTCAAATTTCTCCGTGTCCTTGACGCTGAAGGAGTTCGTCCCCAGAACCGGGGTGATGATGCTGCCGAAAGTGCAGGGCCCCGGGGAGACCACCGCCTGGAAGTGCTTGAGGCACACGCGAAAGAAGGTCCTGCAGTGCGGGGCGCAGGGCTTGCCGCTGGCCAGCGACCCGTGGCTGTTGACGAACTCGTGCAGCTCCAGCTGGAAGACGCCGGAGCCGGCCACCCCCTGCACAAAGGGGAGACACACACAAAAAACCCAAATCACACCTTACCCGGGCTCCGCCACGCGAGCTGGCGTCCGGCACCCGCTCTGCGCTCCGCGAACCCCTTCCACGTATTCGCTTAGTTAGCTCGCTGCGTGATTACCTGCTGCAAAACCATTAACAGAAACGTCAAGCCAAAGCTGCGCAAGGCTGTCATCCTCGTGGAAGCGGCGCTTCCAGCTCTCCCAGGGTTTAGCTTTCCTCCTGTATTCCTCAAAGGGTCCGGGTGGGCGCCCCTCGCAGCGCGACCCGCCCTCGCCAGTATTCCCCGAGCAGCGGCAGAAAGCGGGAGGTAAAAATCCAGGTGTGGGGTGAGACCGTCCCCTGCTGGGAATGAAATCCTGCAGCCAACCCCCGAGCTCCGACCGCTCCTGGCGCCTTTGTAAACTCCAAAGCCGGGTGGGTTTGGGGAGAGACGCGAAGGGGAGTGCTTAGTGTTGGACCGCTCCTCCTTGGACTGGTGCGAACAGCGCTCGGTAAATGGAAAACTCGCTTCCCTCCGAGCTGTTTATATAGTTGCCTCGCATCCTCGCAAGCTCATTATGTAAACCGTCAGTCAGCCTCACGGGCGATCCCTCCCCTTTTCCATCTTTCCTTTCTGGAAAAAGGAGCCAAATGTTGCGGGGAGCCCGCAGAACCGGCGCTAATTCCCTGCTGCCGCTCCGCTGCCGCTGCCGCCGCGCTGGCCGCCGAGGAACCGAGCTGATTAGGAGCGAGCCGAGCATCTGTTGAGATATTTACAGCGCGGGGAGGGAGAGCTCCCTGCAAAAGCGGACGCCTCTCCGAGGAGCAGCCTCCCGGGGCGGCCGAACAATAGGGGCCGAAGCGTTGCAAAGCACCCGTCCTGCCCGCCTCACCGCCCCGCTCGGCCCCCGACGGCCGCCGCTCCCGTCCCGTCCCGTCCCGTCCCGTCCCCTCCCCGCCGCTCCCCGCTCTCGCCCCGCTGGACCCAGAAAGCAAAAGCAAAAGGGGCGCTCGCACGGCACCGACCGGCTCGGCACGGCACGGCACGGGACGGCCCCGCCACCGCCTCCGGGACGCGCCGGGGAACCGCAGCCCGGCCGGGGCGGGGGGCGAGGAGCGGTGGGGACCCCCCCCGGGGAGCCGGGCTTGGGGCTGGGGGGGGCGATGGGGGCTGCGGGGCGGCGTGTGCCAGCCGAGCGTCGGCCTGATTGCAGCGGGCGCTTATTGTCGGGTCGCGTGTCCCTCATTAAAGCCAAGCACAGAGAAGGCCTTTCATGTGGCTGTTTAGTTCAGCTTGTTAAATGGATGGGAGGCCGGAGGGAGGCGGGGGGGGGGGAGGGGGGGGAGTTGGGGAGGGAGAGATAAACCTTCAGCTGTATGGTAATGAGGTCTTGCCACCTTTATGCCAGCGCCGCGCTCGCAAGGCTGCGAACCTTGGCGGCGTGGGGCACCTGGGAAGCCGCCCTGGGGCCTCGGGGCTGCCGCTGCCGTTCCCCAGCCCGGGCTCTTTTGGGACCGGGGGGGAGAAAAAGGGGGGGAGAAGCCGGGTCCCGGCCGCGGCAGCACGAAGCGGCGCCCCCCGGCCGCGCCTCCCCGCGGAGCCGGTCCCGGGGTGGGGAAGGGGATGGGGAAGGGGATGGGGATGGGGATGGGGATGGGGATGGGGATGGGGATGGGGATGGGGGGGCACCGCGGGCACGGTGCGGGGGCTGCGGGGGAGCCGAGGCGCGGGCAGAGGCACCCGAGGGGAGCTCTTTTGTCTCGGCCTCGTAAACAAGGCGGGAGGAGGAATGTGTCGCCGCTGATGGACTCGGAATTTTGCGGCGATCCGCCCGGCCAGATCCCGGCTTTACCAGCAGCAGCGTCAACTGTCAAAATCAAATCTGATGCTAATAGCTTCGGTACTAAATAAAATGAGAGGCCAGATAACATCAGTGCTTGATAAATGGTAATGAGTGTCTAACCTAGGGGAACAGAAGGGCTGTGGGGCTCTTTAATTCAGTATTGAAAGGCTAGCTGGGTACTGCAGGCTCTAGCAGATGTTAGTATGTGTGTGTTTTGATTTTTGACTTGTATTGGACGTTTATTAGGCTAACCAGAGCCACCCCACGCATGGCCACTTGGTCCAGGCACCATCTGGCACAAGCAGGGCGGCGTGCAAGAATAGGCCCCGCTTTGGTGCTGGAGATCCACAGGCAGCATCTACCATATGGACCCGGAGCTAATGTAGGTTAAAGCAAGACAAGCTGATCTCTGCTTTTCACAGCTCCGCCAAACCTCGCTGCGATCCCCTGGCCGCGCACCTAGGCGGGTGCCACCACCACCTTCCCAAGGCCCGGTGGCTGCCGCCCTGAGCTTTGCACCCAGTTTGCATGCTCTGCCCGGGCTCCACAAGTCGCTGCAACTCCCCACGTGTCCCCACAAAACAAATATTTCCAGAAGCCGGAGCGAGTGGTGCGAAAGAGATGTAAAATCCTCCTCGAAACTCCAGGGCATTATTGTGATTGCGGCTATAAAGAGAGCCCTAATAAAATAATAACCGGGGAATATAATAAACCACCTGCTGCATGTTGACACACGCACACAGGCTTCAGATGGAAAAAAAAAAGTTGCGTTAACAGCATCGGACAGCTGAGTCTGAAAGTGCAGCCGTTACTTAGGGGATCCACCGGAGTGTGGCGTGTAGGGCCAGCACCTCGCGTGGGGTGCCAGGCCGGGGGGACACCCCAGAGCCGGAGCTCCGGCCACAAAGTGCAGGCACACGGGTTTTTTTGGAAGGGGACACGCGTGAGCCTTTCCCTGCGTTTATTTTGGGAGCAGCACGCCCGCAGCTCGGTGCCCTGCAGGCGTCTCGGGGGATACCCGCCCCACCTGTGGCCGTGGGGCCGCGGCTTCTATAGGGACAGGAGCAAAAGGCTCGGCTGCAGCCCCCACGCGATTTCGGGGACACTCGGGGGGGTTCCTCATCTGCCCACTGCCCTGCTCGGCAGGGGTCCCGGTCTGCCCCAGCGCCTGCCCGAGAGATGCTCTACCGGGCACCTGAGGGATGCTTTGCCAAGACCTGAGGGGTGCTTTACTGGGATCTAAGGGGTGCTTTACCAGGAACCGAGGGGTGCTTTATCGGGACCTGAGGGGTGCTTTACCGGGGCACCCGAGCCCGGAGCTTGCCCGTCTGTTCCCCGCCCGCCGCCCCTGCCATGTGCACGGCCCCACTCCGTGAGCCGGATTCCCCGATGGCTTTTAAACCCCTTAGCTAGAAAGTTGCGCATCGATTCAGCGCTGACACACACCCAGAGAGCCTAAGAAAGGGAGAAAAGAAAAGAAAAATCCCCCTTGCTTGTTTTGTTTCTGCCTAAATGTCCATAGCGCGGAGCATCTCTCCAGGGAGAGCCGCTCCGAGGGGTGTTAATGTGGTCGATTTGGGGTACAAATGTTTGGAAATGTTTCCCGATTCGCACAGAAGGAGGGGGGATTTGCAAACTGTTGCTGCCACATGGCTCCTCCAGCCTGCCCATTCTCATTGTAATGAGGCCGGCGCGTGCCTCATCTGCCGCGGGGCGCTGCCACGGGCCGGCCGGGCACGCCGTGTGCCAACTGGGACAGCGCGGCTCGGCTCGGCTCGGCTCGGCAAGGCACAGCTCGGCAAGGCACGGCTCGGCACAGCATCCCCCCTCCGCCCCGCACCGCCCGGCCCCGCACCGCCCGGCCCGGCTCGGCTCGGCTCGGAGCGACCCCCCCGGCCCTGGCCGGGCGCCGGGGCAGCGCGGCGTTGTGTGTGTGCCCATTGTTGCTCGGAGCCGAGCCCATAAAAATAAGAACATTTCTATTAAAGGGTATAACGATCACTATTGAGCCTCTCAGCTCCAAATCGATGGCTTCTTTTCCATACAAATGCCTGCTTATGCCTTTATGTTCTCCATCTGTTTGTAGCTAACACCTGCCATTCAATAAATCGATTTGGCCATTTAATGTAACAGCTTCCCGGGACATTTTTTCATGCCAGATGCCACAGCAGCTCCCAAGCCCTACCCCAGCCCAGCGCCCCACCGGCACAGCCGCCCAGCCCCGGGCTTCGCCTCGGCTGAAACTCTCTGCCAGGGCACGGACTGGAGCTGGGAAGGACACAAAACATTAAAAAGTGCCTTTTGTTTATTCTTTCTTATTTGTGTCGAGCACTAAAGTCACCGATCCCACCTTCCTTAACCCTGTGTTATCTTCATGCTGGGGTGAGGCTGGCTTGGGACCCCTGCACGGGGACCTTGTGGGACGGGGGACCCCATCCTTGTGTGGGTGTCGGGGCTGAGGTGTGCTGTGCCGAGCTGAGCTGGGGGAGCAGGGTGGAACCTCTCCAGGTGTCTCCCTGCAGGTCTCAGGGGAGAGAAAATAGCGTCACTGGGGAGATGAGAAAGTGGAGTGAGTAATGTGGCGTGGGGAGGTTTCACCGGGCAGTTTCCTCATAGAGGGAGGGAGCAGCGCCAGGCTGACCAATTTCCTCCTCCAGAGGTGATTTTAGTATTCCTGGGATCTTGTGTGACCACGCTTATTGCTTAATTTATTGTGCTATTGTGCCTTTCAAAGGCAGCTGAATCTGAATAAGTAAAAAATTATAGATATGTATGTATTTCAGTTATGTGGGTCTGTTTCTTTCTTAATTAATTCAGTGCAGGCTGTGGGTGCCACTTTCAATGCACCTGGCTGTGGGAGCCCAATTGCCTTTGGAAGCCAGCAAGAAGTCCACGCAGTCATTTGGCACTTTTATCTGAGATGGTTGGACAGAATTGGGATTTCTCATAAAAAGCACCCCTGGAAACTATGACTAGACCTGAGAGGAGGTACCTGGGAGAGGAGGTACTTGGGAGATGCCCAAATCTGGGTCATTTTTTGAACCTTAGAGCCGTGGGTGGGATTGGCAGGGTCGAGAGGAGAGGCTGGATGTGCCTCACTGGGACCAGAGGTTCCCAAGTCTTTGTTCATACAAAAGGCACTGTATGGGTCAACAGTCATGGATGGGACACTGCCTGAAGCAACTTAACAAAGTAAGTGCAGGCTGGCTCTGGTTAAAGGGGCAAATTTCCTCTGCCTGCTCCTTAGTAAATGTCCCATGGGCCAGGCTTTGGGAACTCCTGCATCAGAAGGTCTGTGTCTTCCAACAGATGGTTGGGCTGCCCTTGGCTGCTTAGAATATGTTTGGGGCTACATTATATAGCGCCGAGTGAAGGGATCTGTCACAGAAAGCGGGTAAGAGGCAGTTTTAACCCTTTCCCCATGCAGGCTGTTCTACTGGGGCAGGAGCAAGAACAAGGCATCGGGGCATGGGGGAGCCCTTTTGGGGCAGACAGGGCTCGTGGCCTCTAGTCCTGCACCCAGCAGAGGTCCGTAACACACCGTCACCCTGGTGGCATCCACCTCCTGTGGGCTGGTCCCCTGCAGGGGTTCGTGGTGGCCACACCAGGTTCCTGCTGAGCTCTCCTGCTTTCCTCGCTGCCCTCAGAGCCCAGCATTAGGCAGGGGCTGCTGGATGCCCAGGACTGAATTTTGGGTCAGATTTGGAGGCCAATGTTGTAATAACAGGAGGAGAGGTCTACTTGGCACTCGGTGGAGCTGCACCTGCTTGAACACCAGGATTAGTTGATTCAAGGCAGTTGTATTTTCTCAAAGCTGCAGACTGGTAAAAGCCAAGGGTGTTTAAAACACAGCTGGACACCTAGGTGAGAAAATACCTTTTAAAATCCCTGCGCTAGAGGTAAAACCTGCTAATGACCGAAGAAAGAGAAAGACCATCCTGACATTTTATTCATAGCATTTTTATTTATTTCTAGTAAAAAAGATTTTAACCAGGAGCAGCTGCTCCCACAGCCCATCAAAAGCGATCCTAGATTGTCCAGATGGAGTCACTCAAGACAGAGACATGAACAAGGGCTGCCACCGGCTCCAGGATTTCTGGGTTTGTCCTATTTTAAGAAGATCTCACATCCTGTGAACACTGCTTATGGGAAATGATTGGATGCAGAAATCCTAGTGGGGGCCCATGAGGCAGCCTCATGTGGAGCTGTGGCGATGTGGCATGCTGACATTTTGACATAACGTGGTGATGATTTTATGCTAGCATCAGCCCTCCAAGAGGAAAGTAAATATGTGACATATTGTTCAGGGAAACAAAACAAACCAAACAATGAGGTCCTGTGCCCAGTGACTGATGTAGCCTCTGCAGGCCCATGCAAAACCTCTTTTTCTTTGTGATCTGGGGATGCTGGGAAAATGAGTGCATCGGGGTATCCAACACCCATCCCTGGCCCATCCAGCCCTCCTCGCTTTTTGTCTTTGTGTGCGGCCATGCAGGGAGCAAACACAGAGCACCCGCTGCGTTTCTATTGTTTCTCCTGTCTAATGGCCCTACTTAGCCATGGAGGAGTGGGATGGATTTGCGCCTTGCGCACATTGTTCTTGGGGTTCAAAAGAATACTTAAACTAGAGCAGTAGTTAGTATGACAATGGAATAGAAATGAACATTCACTCCAGTGGCTGCGGATGGCACGGGGGCTTAGATAATGGGACAAGGGAGAAGAAAATTAATGAATCTGTCTGTCTGTTGACCCATCAGCATAAATATCTTGTCAGTCATATGTGACAGCAGATCTATTTGGATGGCAAAAGCTGTGCTTGCCCAGGCTCCCGGCTGTATTCTCTAAATCAGAAGTTTCATCAGGTAATTTAGCAAACTAGGGAAAGTTGGTGCTTGACCACGTAGCATGACCCGAATGGGTGTGCAATACATGCTTCATCTCCAGTGCTAAATGATGCACAACAATGGGATACTGAGGGCATGGGGTACCCAACTCCTTCCTCCTGCTCTGGTCCCATGGTGGCAGTGTCTCCTGCAGCCCTGGGATGGCATGGAGATGTTCCTCCCTCCACTGGGCCTGTCTTCCCACCTGTGGAAGGGCAGAGAGCAGAGATCCGCCTCACCCTGGAGGGGGTGTAGCTGTTGTGATGGAGGGATGAAACAGAAGGGTGAGGCTGAGGCACTATCTTGTTTAAAAGTTTAGGTTGAGACATGGGACCTCTGTGTATGGTTCTGTGTACACACACACACAAACCCAGAGTGGGAGACCCATCTTAGGGTGGGAGTTGTCCCACCTTACTTTAGCTGTGTAACAGATATATGGGCCATGTTAAGCATCCACATTTCTTCTGGAGACAGCACTGTGAGGTGGGACCATATCGCCCACCCTGAGAGGGCAATCTGCATTAGACCAGGTGAACCATCTACGGAAACCCTTCTCTCTCCATTAACTCTAGAAGATCCTGAATGTCTAGATCAGGCCCCTCATTTTTAGGAAGCTAAAGCAAGGTGAGATTAATTCCTTCCTTGGTGTTTGAATGGACAAGTCAGTCAGAAGACAGGAGAGGGAAAAAAGAGCAGGGATGATGTGGTTTTTCAAGATGTGCAGAAGCCTGTGGCAGAGCTGGGAGCAAAGGGTGACCTCTGAGCATCCACTGCTTGGGATATCTAGCTTAGGATGGGGGTGTCCCAGTCCTGGTGAGAGCACAATCCTTGTGACAGAATTTGCAGAACTAGCTACTAGATATAAAGAAATACAGCCTCATAGATGGCTTGCAATTTGATGCTCTTTTCAGTGAAACCTTCCTCATGTCACAGCAAGACAAAGGAGCAAATGGCATCGATCCAGCCCAGACAGGGTGCAAGCTGAGGTACCTGGATGAAGCTGGGGATTTGCACCACAGTTGTGATGCTGAATGGAATAACTTGTACAATCAGGTTTCACACAGGGAGCTGGATTTTGGGCATCCTCTTAACCTCAGAGAAGGAGAGTCTAAGGCAAGATTCTGTTTTCGGTTCGCTCTTAATAAAATCAGAGGTGTTGTAGCGAGTGTAGATGAAGGGAGATTTCAAATGACAGATACCACCACTAAGGAACTCTTTGTAGGCTACAAAGCATTTTCATCTTATCTCTTATACATTCACAATGCTCCAAAATAGATATTGTGATGAATTAATAGCTTTTAAAATATATCTATATTTTATTAATTCATTAGAGGATCTCATATTTAACCCTTGAATAATCAGCTTAAAAGCAGAAGGCAGATTTACTGGCATACGGTTTTCCACATGCATTTTGCTGGTCAAATGCCAAGACATATGACAATTTAGATACCCAGTGTGTTTATTACCTAGGATCTAGCACAGGCGTTAGCTTTCAGTCTTGAAATTTACAGTGGCAGCTGAAGCCTTTGAAGAATATCACCAAGCCGAGATGCTTTATCTTATGTACTGGGAAACATTTTATTCTGTTAATGATGAATTGCCCAGCGAAGGCACTTTACACAACATATTGTACAACTGCTTATTTTGGTGTCTGCTTGTTTTCTCATTTAAAAGTTTTGGCCACATTTTCATGTTCTGTTTCATTTCATGCCTGCTGCAGTCCCCTGTGGATGAGTGCTGCTTCTTGTCTCATTTTAGAAACAATTCACAACTGATTAATTCTTACTAACTCTTCAAACTGATGAAAACAGCGAACAATCATTTGCAAAGACCACTTCCAGCTTTAAAGTATTCCTAGATGGAGCTTTTATATTTAAGAGTTTTGGCAAGGCCTCTGTAAGCCTTGTTCTCCGTCAGACTTGGTAGCAGGAGCTGGAACTGGAGGGCAGTCTACATCCCATTGCCTTGATTTCTACCCACCAGATATCTGCTTTGTATCAGATCAAGTGCAGATGACAGGGCAGAAAAGTCACCAGGGATGGTTTCCCCTGCGTTAGCTCTCCAGCAGTGACTGCCACGGGCAGGGCTGCAGCAGGGAACAATGGCAGAAGATGTAGGGGGATAGGAGACGGGTAGGGATACGACTGCTCGTGCAAGTCCTGCTGGCTCCCTCTGCCTGCTCTTCTGGCCAGATCGCTTGGGGCTGGTGGCACAGCAGCTGTGTAATCCCACAGAATGTCCTCTGTGACAGACCTGTTTTGAACCATCTCTTCACACTACAAACAGTGGGCAAGTGGTTAAAGATAAAATATGTATCCACCTGGAAATGTGTTTTTGTGGTCCCCATGGTGCTCTCAATGAGGGTGGCATTGTTATGCTCACCTGAGGCAAAGCAGCCTTGCTGGGAAGCCCTGGGCAAACCCAGATGCAGGTGTTCCTCGTGATGTGCTCCTCCTGATAGCACTGTGCTGACCTGAGTTCTGTCATCAGTCAGCACTGTGGCAGGATAAAAGTGGTGGGTTGGGAAGAAAGGAGGTTTCTTTGCCAGTTGTACAGCTCTGCTTGGAGCTCCCAGCTGAGGTCAGTGAGATGTGCTGGGTGTTTAAGATCTCAGCATAAAGAGTGAAGGAAAGGTGAAAAATGGTATCTGAATAGAAGAAAAGGAGAAGACATAGAGAAGGTGATGCAGAAGGTAGGAGGCTGGCTCTTGGGACCCTGTTTTAGCATGCAGGTGTGTGATATCCCAAATGCAGGTACATCTGCTCTTCTGAAGGCAATGGTTTGAAGTGGTGGGGTGGGGGAGAAGAAGCTGCATGCAGATGTCTTTGTGCTTTGGTTGGCACTGGTTTTTAGAACAGGTCTTAGTGCTGGCTCTTGTTTCTTTTCTTATTTACCTCGTATACAAGTTGGGGAAATCAAGCTCAGTCTTAAAATTGCTACCCACACTACTTTCATTCACGTTTCTTCTAACTGAGCAGTCATTCAGAGGCAGCCAGCAAGGGTGATTAGAAGAATGATTCATACAAATACTCATACTCTGAGTGACTGCAGCCTGAATGAGGAAATACCAACAAAAGCTCCTGTACAAACAAAATACTTAGAGAACAGGGCCTGGCTTAGCAAAATATAGTAATGAACACAGTATAGTTGAGGCTTCTGGTGTAGAAACACCAAAGTGACTCCAGTTTGCTCCTAAAATAACAGGAATTGATGAGTTTTTGTCATTTAGAGATCTACTGTAGGGTCCAAGTCTCATACTGCTGCAGACTCCAAAGCACCTCCAACTACACATTCTGTAGACATGTGGTGCTTTATGGTGGTGCTTTTTTTCAGTGGTGCTTTATGTAGAGTTTAGCTAGGCTGGAAATGTGCTGCCTATAACTTTATCAGATGCTGTTAAACCTATAGAAGGGACCACTGAATTCTCCATCAGTGGGTGACTATTCAGACCAGGTTCCTGTGGCCTCAAGCTTATTCTCCTTGAATTTGGTGCTGCTTGGAGGTGTTTTGGATGCGTAGCTTTAAAGATTGGTATCTCCTATTGCTAAAGGACCCACTACAGCCCAAGCGGCAGCAGTATTATATGCTGCTCTTCTAATGTTCCTTCATGTGGAGGAGTAGTTAGCAGTGTGTTTCTACTAAGCCCATCAAAAAAGATGCAGGCAGTCCTTGTGTATGGATCAATAGTCATTGGCAGCAAGGCAGAAACCAACAGAGCTGTCATAATCACGACAGGTGATATCATAGATGGCAGTGACTTTTGGTCAGCACATGTTGGGTGATGACCTGGAAAGATGCCACAAGTCATATCCAATTCTCTGAGCCAGCGTATGTGATAGCGTTCAGGTGAGGCTTCTTGATTAAACATGTATTAATTCTTGATTAAGTGTGATTCTGAAAGTTGCTTTAATGGGTTGTGAGTGGGGGGGATAACACCTAATGCTCAGTACCTCTTGCTCTGAGTGCATACAGAGACCCTTGCCATGCTGATGCCAGATGCATTTTCACATGGAAAACTCACTATTTTTTTTTTCTGGGAGATAGAGGCCTCCAAAGAAGTTGCAGCTGCTTACCAAAGTAGTTTAACAGGGACAAACAGTGGGGCTTGGTGTCACAAGCCTGTTCTGAATAACAGTTGATATTTGATGTCCCTTCTATGCAGGAGGTGGTAGTTTCTGCCGACTGAGTCTGTCTACAGACCAAGCTCTCTTGTGTTTGCTATCACGTTCATGCCTCCCTTTGCAAATAAGCAGGTAAAATGTCATCAGCCTTCTAGGACAGGGACTAGGGATGAAACTGAACTGCCTGCCAATCTGGTTCTGTAATATTGCTGTGTCTGAAACCCTGCTCCATCTGTAGGAAAGGGACAGGAAAGGGCCACAAAAGAGCTGGGGATGTGGGACAGTGGCTGTGTGAGGAGGCACTAAGCAGAGGAGGGAAGCAGCTGTCAGAGGGGCATGTGAGGGGTCCCCTGCCCTGCTTTCTTCATTTTAGGGAATGACTTCTTAATATTTCTTGTAGCTTGCGAATATGGAAGAACAAAATGAGATTACCAACCGTTGATTCTAAAACAAGTAGGTTTTTTGTCTGTTTAAATAATAAGTGTGATTACAATTTGGAACCTACTGCAATATGCTGTTACAGGTGCCACACTCTTAAATGGATTAAAACAAACAACCAAAAAAAACAAACAGCTCCTCTTAGGTTCATCCTTTTTCCTACTTCACCTTCCCATGCCTGTTCTCTCCTTGCTGATCTTGCAGCCAGCTTTCCAGCTGATGCAGTGTGTGAGATCTCCCCAGGGGCTTGTCCTCACCTCAGCAGGGCAAGCGTGTCTCTGGGGATGGAGAGGTCTCTTTGGAGTATGAGCCAGTGCTCTCTGGAGGCTTTGAGTTGAGCCCTTGGGATCATCATGGCTGTGTCCTCTGGCATGTGGCAGCAGAGGAAGGAATGAGAGACGCCTCTGGAGAACAGAGCTGTGCCCAGAAGGGTTGCCATCCTGCCCTGTTGGGTTTTGGTAGTTGCTCAATCTGAATCTGTGGCTACTTTCTCTTTCCAGGCTGAGCAAGCGAAAAGGTCAAAGGCCAAATCAGGTTATTATATAAGCCGTAAAATTAAAGAAACATACTGAGGGGGTTTGTACTCTGAAGGCTTTAGTATTCTTGTGCAGCACTTTGCCCTTGGCTCCCCAGTCTTGCTTTTGGAGAGCTCAGCTACTGGGAACCTCAGACCTTGGCCTGATATTAATCTCCACATCAAAAACAGAAACAGCTCTGTGTAGCTGGATTGATCTTCATGATGCAGAGATTTTGAAGTGCTGGGGTTTTTGGCCCCATGCTGGCTTCTGCTTCTCCTCATCCACAAGTAGTGCATTAGGCTGTTGCATTCTACTGAGCAGAGCTTGTCCCAGGAAGGGGGATGAATCTATAAAAGCAATAGCACCCCAGTGCAGTTGCTGCATTTAGGTTGCTGGTGTTCTTTTCAATTCACTTTTTGTTCTAGTCTAGTGAGTGCATGTACTTGACTAGCTCTTTCAGTTGCTTTTACACTGCCCTATCTTCTTTCCTCATGCCTTTTCCAGACTTTTCCTTCCTGCTGTGTTGCTGTTATTCACTTTTTCTTCCTCCTCCATGCCATCTACTGCAGTGACTGGGTGAGGCACTTGTGAGAACAGGCTCTTCCAAAGATGAGACTTGGGAAATTGCAGTTACTGGTAATGTATGACCTTGGACTGCTGCGATGAGAAGAGACTATTCGGTTAGCTCAGTGACATTTTCTAAGTAGGCAGTAAATAAATATTTAACCTGAATTACACCTTTATTGCTTCTCTCTGTCCAGACATATATGATAATGCAGGAAACCACTGGAATAAACAAGCGCCGCCCATTTCTTTGGTGCATCACCACCCACATTTCTCTAACCACATGCAGCCGTAGGCTGCTCATCTTCACAAGTTCTCCTCCCCTCACCACCTACAAAGCTTCTCAGTCCGCTAACATGACCACTGCATTGTGCCCATGGCATTACAGTAGCTGTGGGCAGCAGTATTACCTTGAGGTCACAGTCAAGCTCTTGGCATCTGATAATGCAGGGCTAGGCTGGAGTGTGACTTAGAGGAATTGAAAGTGTGCTGCAGACGTTCATTTATGGTAAGTGAGAAGCTTGCTGAAAAAGGTGGATGGTCTGTGAGTCAGCCCTTTACCTGCTGCCCTGGTTCCTTGAGGGTGATGTGTCACAGGCTGGTGGCTGCCTGGCTGTGCGGGAAGGGCTGCAGCCTTCTTCCCTGTAGGGGTAAGAGCAGGTGTACTCCACACACGGACACCTAGTGGGTCTTCTCCCACTGCTTTCCCTTCTACCCGGGGGCCCCAGGGAGCTGCCAGCAGGCAGGGCAGCACCCAAACACATCTCCTGCTCCTCAGCTGGCTGTGGTGCTCACCTCCAGGACTGCACACAGCAGCATTGCAGGGCATGGTGCGTTCTGCTGACATTGCCTTCTGGTGCCCAGGAGCCCAGAAACAATGATGTATGTACAGAGGAGCAGCTGATGTACGGTCACCTATTCTGCTGTACCACCTTAGCTCTACCTGCAAGGAAGGACACTCAAGCTTTTCCTTTTTTTTTTCTTGCAGACCTGCAGAAACACAGCTGGCTCAGCTGGGGCCCATCAGAGTGCACTTTTGTTGACTCAAGATTATTCTTTTAGCAGATTTCCGTTGGAGCTGCTCACAAAAGTGGGAATTGCTGGGTTAATCTTCATAAAAGATAGAAAAGTTGGCAGCAGAAGGAATTTTTGAAAAAGCAAATTAAAGGGGAGGAAAGAAGCGGGTGTGAAGTAAATTATTTGCACTGGAGTGTTTTCCTTTCTGACCAGCAGAGAATGTAGGGGTATTTCCTGGGGAGAAGAATGTCACATTTAGAGGTGTCCTTCCTTTGCTAAGAGAGGTGAAAATCCCTAGCAGTTAAACATTTCCAGCTCAGACATGCCCATTACTGGCAGAAGAGACTTGGTGATTAGCATTCACTAGCCCTTTGGGCTTCGGTTTTAGTTCCCACATACATTTAACTTGCCATGAAGAACGAAGTTGCACTACAAATGATGAAAGAAGCTTTTTCCAGATTGTGTTATTGTTTCACGTGTGCCTGAGTAATTCCTGTGAAGAAGGAAACATGAACTAATATAACATATTTATCACACAGCTCACAGAACGTTGTGGCCATTGCCAGAGGAGGTTTCTCCTCATAAGGCTGCCTACTGGATTTTCGCATGAGAAAAGGTTTTCTAGGTTGTGGCTTGGTTTACCACCTTCTTGCCCACTCCTGGGAGCAGCTGAGCTGCAGCGAGCCCTTGGGGAGAAGAGAGCACCACGCTGCTCTTGAGACAGCCTGAGTGTCTTCATGCTCCTGCAGGAGCCTTGGTCCAAGGGGGTGAAGCTGATGCAACACTTCTGCAGAGAAAGGGTCAGAAACATCTGAAATGAAAGCAAAACACTGGGTCTCTGTGGTAATCTCCTGAGTCTGAGCAGCTACATCAGGGCATGGCGCTTCTGGTAGGCTCTTCAAATCTCGTAGACCCCTAGCTATTTGCTGTCTCTCCATCCCTTATGGTGCAAGGAAAAGTTTGTTTTTTTTTGACCCTTCCCCTGTCATTATAACAACATTCAACTCAGGACTGCCTTAAGGACCTGGAGGAAGTGAAATAAGGAGGTTTTTGGTAGTCTCCCAGATGTGGCTGATATGCTTATTAGAAGAGGGCAGATGTGTATCTGAAGAAGGCTTTCAGGTCTTTTGGCCAGTTGCTCTTTCTGGTGGCTTTGGATAAACCTACACCCAGCTTAGTTTCAAGCCAAATTTGGAAAAAAAAAAAAAAAGGTGCAAAATACTGTTTTTCTAGCAAGAAGGTTCCTTATGTTTCTAGATAACTCATGTCTGGCAGTGAGGCAATGGGTTTGTGAATATCAGGAGTCTTGAGGCTCCTGGTACAGGTGGCCCTGTGCAATCTGGAACAACAGTAAGGGAAGTCTCTTACAGGAGATCTCCAGTACTTCTGACTCTCCTTTGAGGGAAGAGTGTTGTGAGAGTAGCTTTTCCTCTCAGATCTAGAAAACATAGCCTCTGGCATGAGCACCTCTGCTGTGAGTGTGACTGTGTTTCTGTTGAGTGTATTGAGGTCTCTTATTTGAAAACTACCCTTGCAATGGGATGCGTTCAGCAGAGTGCTGCACAACCTGCAAAGCTTCTGTCCATGTCCGAGTGTCCCTCAGACCAAGGTGCTCTGAGAGCTGAGCTTCTGACTGTGCCCATTTTAATCAGCCTTTGCTCCATTATGTTTCTCTCATTAACGCTTTGGTGCAACTAACCTCTGCCATAGGCGAACTTTTTCCTTTTCCCCTTGTCGCACAGCTGGGTTCCACTTTGCACCCACTGTAATTATTGGTGAAATACAGCATCTTTATGATGCCCCGGTAGTCCAGAGACTCCAGCCTGGGGCAGGAAATTCCCATCATTAAGGGTTTGTGGAGCTCTCTCTCTCCAGAAAATGACATTTACTAATTACATCATTTTGATGTATATGATACCCAAACCAAACATGTTATAAATTAGCAAAAGCTCATTTGTTTCATGAAAAGTATTGTTCTTCTTTTATTCAATGACCTTTTTGTTCCTCTACATCCTGGACCAATCAAGTGCCGGTGCAGGAGCTGACTTCTGAGCACAGACAATAGCTTATTCCGTCTATTCTGTTCAGACGACTGTAGGAATAGGCAGTCACTTTGTCATGTGGAGACTGGAGGTTGTATAAAACCCTTTTTCCCACCATTTAGAGAGAGTCTGAATCCTGAGAGGAAAACCCTGTCATAATAATAATAATAATCCAGAAGCTAGAGCCCATTGAAGTTTTCTCAGCTTTCTGATTTGGGTGGGGTTGGAATGCAGCCCTCCCCGGCTGAGTACAGTTTAATTTTTAGAGCTGTAGCATACGTTGGTTTTTCTCTGTTTCTAGCAGCAGTTTTTTTTTTCTTTTTTTTTTTTTTTTCCTCTCCTAATGAACTTTATATGCAGTTTCTAAGGCGAAACCCCAGCGCTTGCTGGTATAACAACTCCAGGGGTTGCTTGGCATGACCACACTGATTTAGCTTCCAAAGCTGCTGCCTCTCCTGTGCTCTCGTTGGGCAGCCCAGCGGGACAGTCCTGGGCTGGACTGGCTGCCCTGGAAGGATGGAGGAAGCAGGGTGACAGGGGAACCATCGCTGTGGTGAGGTCTTAAGGTGTCCTCTGTGAGTGGCCTCAGCCAGCACACCACCAGGAGACTGGGGCAGGGGAGCAGGGCTGGCGGCTTGGGAGCAGGGACGGAGGGAGGAGGCAGCAGAGGAAGGAGGAGGATGACTAAGACCCTCCCTAAATCCCAGAAACCGCTGCAGCTTTCCAATGCCACCGGTATCCACATAGGAAGCCCTGAGATGTGACCTGAGAGGCATTACATGTGTGCAGTGGGCTGAAAGCCCTCCCTAGCATCATTCATGTATTTCTGAGTGGTCATGCAATACCATTCTTCCTACCAGCCCTTTTGGAAGCCAGTGTGTACCATTCACAACAAGTGTTTATCTTCTAGCTTTAAAGACAGACGTCAGAATATTTCCCTCCTTATTCATGCTCCATCTTTTCTCACAGCCCAATTATTCATGACATCATCACCTTTTCCTCCTCAGCCCCAGACACAGTGTTTCTGTGGCTACAATTTCCTGGACAAGAATTTCCAGTTCACATTGTTGGGGGGGGAAACACATACACACACACATGAAAAAAAGGTTGTTTCGTGTGGAAACATTAAATGAGAAACACAGCCATGGAAAAGTCAGATGCGCGCACACACGCAGAGCAACAACAACAACAACCACCAAGGTTATTATAATTAATTTAAAATCTGTTTAGAAAAGGGTTCCTTTTATGTTGGACTGGCTCTTTAAGTGGCTCAAGAAGTATGAAAAACAGGAAATCAAACTGCCTCATTAGGAATTGACTCTGCTCAGTAATTAGAGGCTAGAAAACAAAACAAGGAAAAGCAGGTGGTGAGTGAGCCCCAAGCAGGCAGCTATTGTACCGCGGCAATGTTCTGCAGGCTAACAGCGTTATTTTCTCAGAAAAGTGTTACTTCCATGGAGAAATGATGATGAGAATCATCCAAAGTTAAATGGGAAAGCACTGCTTTCTCAAACTCGATGCCGCAGCAACTAGCTTGCCTCGGTCTGGAGCTTAATTTGTAATTAGGCAGGATTTTGCAGTGCTTAAAAAGACAACTCTGTTCTCCAGCATCGGCTGCTCGGCCACGAAAATCACGTTAAAAGTAATTAGCGAGTGATAGCATATTTTGCTGATACAATCAGATGTGATAGCCCCAGACATCAATATCAATTATATTTTCTAACAATAACCTTTGCTGAGCAAATGTTGCCAGCGATTTCCAGCAAATAGCTGTTTATGCTTTAGTCATGCTAGTGCTGCTGTGAGGGTTTGCTTTCTTTCCAGGTTTATGCCTCCGGTTTTACAGGAATGTGCTTTTTGCAGAAAGTTTGCACGTGAAGGCCGTGCGTGATCACTTGCCAAAACCAAATGTGCGTGATCCATCCTTGTGCCCATGGTGGGTGCCTGCTCTGCCCGGTGGTGGTGGTGGGACTTTCTGACTCATCCCGCTGTGCCCTGGTAAGGCACACAGTATGAAAGGCAAATGCTTGCAGGCAGCGGAGACAGATTTTTATGGATCTGTAAAATAAACTTGTAAACAAATCTTTTCCCAAGAGTTAAGCAAATAGATGTAAAAAAAAAAAAAAAAAAAAAGGGGGGGGGGGGGCAAAAAAAGACATCATTAAACCATTTTTGTGTGCAGAATAATAATGAAGGAAATGGCTTTCTTCGCACAGCTCTGCTGTGGGCAGAAAATAGAAGCTACTTTTGTTGTATGCATTTTTTCAGTGGGAATTTTAGTGCAGGTCTCTAAAAACAACAAATACCAGCCGATGATAAAGCGTGAGTATTTGCCTACTGTTTACTGCTGATATCCTGTCAGGATATGGTGCGGCTTGGTGAGTGTGTGTTGACTCAGGATGGGCCTGGTGACTTTGTGCGAAGTCCTCATGGAATCATTTCGGCTGGAAAAGACCCTTAGGATCACCAAGTCCAACAATTAACCAGACACCACCAAATCCACCACTGAACCACATCCCTAAGCTCCATGTCTACACGTCTCTTTGATAACTCTGGGGATGGTGGGTATTTAAGAAGGACCTGCCTCAGTGTATGCCCAGGCTCCACGCTTAAGTTACCATTAAAGGCTTTCTTTCTCCTGCCCAGCAGCCTGGTGATGAGTCAGTCAGCTGGTGAAACATGGACAAGTGCTGCTTCTGGTGCAAGAGGAGAGGTGGGACAGCATCACCTTGCCAAAGGGGCACCTCATTTGGGCTGGTGGCTGCCTAGGAGCCTGCCCTCTGGGCGCTGGGAGCCACCCTGCTGAACGCAGGGACCTTGGGCTGGCTGGGGGGATCAGATGTGCTGGGAGTGCTGCAGGCTGACGGTTTCTGTTGGTGGAGTGTCCCCAGAAAGCATTGATATGGATTTGAGTGGATTTCCTCTCCTGGCACCCTCTTCGGGGGGGATTTCCTTTGGCTGGTAGATTTGTGTTGCTTTCCCATTGCAATATGTGCATGTTGCAAGGCTGGAGGTTTCCCTACTGGTACCTGAACTCTATTCTTAGATCTGTTGACATTTACTATAAGTGCTTGAGCTTGGCAAATAATCTATGAATATATGTTGACATTTCTAAATCAAT